AGCCGTGGGGGCTGCACGGTTTCAGGAGCCAGCCCATCAAGAAGGCATTTGTGACTTTTCAGAGCGTAGGGGTGAAGTGGAACAAAAGTAGCTTCTGTTTGCTTGCGTCACGGAGGCAGCACTGGGAGGAATCACTACGTCCAGCCAATGCCAGTTGGTGGATTCTAGACTTTTCAGACTACTGAGTTGCCCATCAGGAAGGATATAGGAGGATTGAAACCATGACTGTGACTCTCTACTTGCCTCTGCTTGATTTTTTCCGAAGGAATGCCAGTCTGTGATAGGCTGCGCTCATGTGATGATTACTGTGCTGTGCATCCGCTGACACTAATGATGTGCAGACTTTGCAAAGTTCAACTGCTTTGTACTGTTCCAAAGTTAATACCAAGAGCATTTCTGGGAAGAGGAAGGGAACTACTGTGACATATGGACCAAATCTGATGATTCATCTGAAATCCATCAGCTCAAGTTTTACCTCCCTTTATCCCCTACTAATCCCCTAAGAAATAAGAATCAATCATTGTCACATTGTCTGGTTACTTATGCTGTTCTTATGCAATAAGTAACTTTGTGTCTCATGCTTTGTACTTATTCAGGAGAAAGTAAATCTCAATAATGATTATTGTTAATTAAAGAGGACTGAATTATAGAATGTTTTGTTTAAAAATCCTTTTGAAGGAAATGTTACTCCAAATGATATATTAAATTCCTTAATAAAAAATACATACAAGGTATGTCAAATACCTTAATAAAATTAAGATACATCATATTTAATATTGCCCTCACCCATTGTCCCTGGAGAAAGCATATTAAAATAAATATAATAAATCATATTAAAATAAAACTTTGATACAACTGGCTTTTGGTGATTCTTCATAATTCCTCAGAGAAGACTTCGTGTGTAATCACAGCTGATAGCTAAATGAGTGAATAAAATTTAATGTCATCAATCTACCCATTTATTCGTCATCTGATTTAGTACCTCTCTTTTTAACAGTGCATCCTGAAGAGTTACTTACACTGTGAATTGGTTTTTATAATATTCTTTTTCAACCAAAAGTGAAGTCCAGTTCAGCCACTGCCTTGTTGAAAATACCAACCTTGTAAATCCTAAATTTATGAGACTTGATAATTTTTAGTAGTTGACATCCATAAACTGGGGCTATTCAGTGGAAGAGAGCCTGCCTTTCCCCTTTTATGCACAAGGAAGCCATCTCAGAAGTTCCTGAGCTCCCTTGCCCTTGTGGATCAATGGCCGTGCTGACTCCATGCACCTTTCTTTTTTTTTTTTTTTCTTTTTTTTTTTTTTATTTAACAAGTAGAGTTACAGAGAGAGAGATAGAGAGAAAGGTCTTCTTTCCATTGGTTCATTCCCCAAATGGCCGCTACTGCTAGAGTTTCGCAGATCCAAAGCCAGGAGCCAGGTGCTTCTTCCTGCTCTCCCATGTGGGTACAGGGGCCCAAAGACTTGGGCCATCCTCCACTGCCCTCCTAGGCCACAGCAGAGAGCTGGACTGGAAGAGGAGCCACCGGAACTAGAACCCAGTGCCCATATTGGATGTTGGTGCTGCAGGCAAAGGATTAACCAAGTGAGCCACAGTGCCAGCCCCTCCATGCACCCTTCTAAACCAATCACTGGCAAGGGAAATTAAAGTAAACTAGTTACTTAAGATTGTTTAAGATTTTCTCCCTGAAGCATGTGAAACAGATGTAAGGACATGAAAAAAGGCAGGGAAGGGAGGAACAGCTGATAGCCTAGAAAATGTCAGTGAGTGCTGTAGCTATCATCCTAGGAACCTGCATCTTCTACAGCAGTGGCTAAGGTGTTTGATGTGACTTCTTGTAGAGGTGGCCAGTGCTTATAAGAAAAGATCCAGAAGTCATTACAATGTGAAGGAGGATGAATGGTTTACCATTTCCAAATTATCTTTCTCATGAGTCTTTTGAAGAGTCCAGCCTTATTCCTTTGAATGGTCAATTTTTTTTCCTTAGAATGAAAGTATCTCTTAAAATGTGTGTGTGTGTGTGTGTGTGTGTGTGTGTGTGTGATTTTCAGAATAGAGCATCCCAGTAAATAAACACTTGGGGATATTTTATCTTTAAACACCTAATATTTTGTGCCATGGGACATGCAAGGACACTTCATAAATAGATCTCTATACTGACACTCAGTAGATTTGAGTGAGTTATATACACAAAGACCACAGTAGAAGATGATTCCATGGAGATGCAGCTAGCTATTGGAATTCACAGGGAGGAGCAACAACTTTGGTCTGGCATACAGGAATAATGGAGAGTGGTAAATACGATGGTATTAGTGTGGGCCTTGAAGGACTCTAAAGTGGAGATAGCAGATGAGACAGTCAGGACGTCCAGGTTCCATGGAGGGTGGAGAAACACAGGGGAAACAAAGAGAGCCCCTTTACATGGGGCAACATGAGGGAAGTCCATGGCTGGTAAATGAGAGCCCCTACAGCCACATGATGAGATAGGAGAGAGGACCCTTCACAAGGTCTGGGAAGAGAGCACAGACTTGATCCAAGCCATTGTTAGGGAATTTTTTCCTTGTTTTTATGGAGGAATAAATTCAATGTGTTGAGGTCTTTGCAGGGGTAAAGGCAGTTGTATAGCATCTATTAATTATTTGAAAGGAACTAGTTAATCATATGGCATTTGGACATTTTTATATCTTCAGTGACTTAGAGAAGAAAAGGGAATATTTCAGGACAAGTAGCATGATCAGAGAAGCTTGGGTTCATTTGATTCATTTCAGCGAAATGTCTTGGACATCCAGGAGATAGTGTGAGGGTCCTAGGACCTCTACAGAGTTTGTGGTAGGTACAGGGGTTGGGGGAAAATCCAATAGCAATTTTGGCCAAGCTCAGTATTTGGCACGATGCAGATATTTGTCCTGAGCATAGACAGGCTTTCTCGTCTTTGGGGACTGGATTCCCAGCCACTGTGGCCCCTGGCATTCCCTGAATTGGCACCAAGCTGCGCTCAAATATCCCCTCTGTTCTTCCTTCCAAATGACTCAGCAGATCATTATTCATGTTGTCTGAGCTGATCTATGAAACCCAAATGTGACAGGTGAGACCTGGTTTCCTTGGGGGTTTTTATTTCTCTAGATGGTTTGCCATTATGGCAGCTACAATTACATGTGCATTTCTGCCAACAATGCTTAGTTCTTTATTTTGTACTTTAAAGATTCTTGGCAACAGGTCCAGAGTTTTGGAATTCACTTCCCCAGCTATTTTGACTATGTTTGAGTAAAAGGTCTGGGAGGGATTTATGCCAGGCCACGCTAAATAGGATGGATTTTAATTGAGGGGTAGGAAGTGGAAGATGTAAAAAGCTAAGGGTTGCTATGGTAACAGTAATGGTGCTGAGCCAGATGATTCAGCCAGCCTGATACATAAACTCATATTTATTGGTATGAATCGTCTGTCTGCCTACCAACTTGCATTTCAAGGCTATAGGGCAAAGTTGTAACAAGAAGTGACTAGCAGGGGTAGGCATTCAGCCTAGTAGCTAAGTTGTCTGCATCCCGTGTATGAGTACCTGGGTTTGATGCCTGATTCCAACTCCTGACTCTATCTTCCTGCAAGTGCAGCCCATGGAAAGCAGTTATGATGACTCAAGCAGGTGAGTTCCTGCCATTCATATGTCAGACCTGAACGGAGTTCCCAATTCCTGGGTTTGGACTGGCCCAACCCCATCTGGGCATTTGAAAAATGATAATTCTCCCTCTTTGTGTCTATCTGTCTCTCTGGCTGTCAATGCAATCAATAAAAATTTAGAAATCTAATTATAAAAGGTGACTTGCAAACATATTTATTCAGTAACACAGAGTTAGAAGAAATAGAGTACTAAAGTATTAATTTAAATTTTCCATTTTTATCAACATTGTCACAACTTCACAGTCAAGTTGGATGGTTTCAATCTAGTTGGCCTCTCAGATTCTCCTGATCAGCAATGGTGAATTCATTAGATCTTAGCCATATCCGTGTGTCAAGAGAAATATCTATGCTTTTTAGGAACTCAATGTAAGGACTTTAGTCTGGTGTGCACTGGTAGAGCACACAGCCAAACATCTGTTCTGCTTATTGGTAGTGATCTATGTTGTACTAGTTAATAAATTGCAGAACTGTTACCTTTGCTCAAAATAAATATCAAGAATTACAAGAGTAGAGGAAAATAGCTTATTCAGAAAACCTGAAACCTCCAACTTAAACACTTTGACGCTGATCTAGCCTATGTTAGAAATGGTACCCACTGGTGATGGTATACCTATGGATTATTAGGTCTTAACTTAGAGACCAAGGAGCAAATTAATGTAGTTCTAAAAAACTAAATTATATATTCAAAAGCTCCTTTGGTTTATAAAATATCTCACTCAAAAAAAATTGACAGTTTGGTATAATTAGAAAAGTTTCAGCAGAAAAATTTAACATCTAGAGGGTATATTGGTAACCTATTGCTGCTGTAACAAATTATCACAAAGGTAGTGGCTTCAAACAACGTAATTTGTCATCTTACAGTACTGAAGGTCAGAGGTCTGCAACAGCCTTTACTGAACTTATGTTGGTGGTACTCCTTTTAGAGGCTCCAGGGAATAATCTGTTTTCCTACATTCTTGGCTTCTAGAGGGTACCTGCATGTCTTGGTTCACAAGCCTTTTGATATTTAAAGTCAGCAATGGCCAAGTGGATTGTTCTCACATTGCATCCCTTTGACACTAACTCTACTGTCTCTCTGTTCCACATTTAAAGGGCCTTTCTGTTTACACAGGGTTTACCTAGATAATCCATGGTAACCACCCCATCTGAAAGCCTTTACCTTAATCACACCTGCCAAGTCCCTTTGCCATGTAAGGTAACCACATAAGGATTCCAAGAGGCCACTCTTCTGCCTACCACAATGGATTTTCAAATGTTCCAGTGGCTCTAGTTACTGTTTGATCTTAGACAATGTGGTCTGGCCATCATCTCAACTCTTACCTTTTCACGGAAGCTTGCAGCTGAAAGGCTGGATGTTTTGTCTGTGGGGCTGACATGGATGAACGGAGTTGAACTGAAAGATGGAAATAAATACAAAAAGATGGAAAATGGAAAGAGTAAAGAGATGAAAGATAAAAAATACAGAAGATGGGCCAGTGCTGTGGCTTGGCAGGTAAAGCCGCTGCCTGCAGTGCCAGCATTGCATATGGGTGCCAGTTCGAGTCCCAGCTGCTCTAATTCTGATCCAGCTCCCTGCTAATGTGTCTGGGAAAGCAGTGAAAGATGACCCAAGTCCTTGGGCCCCTGCACCCACGTGGGAGACCCAGAAGAAGCTCCAGGCTCCTGGCTTTGGATAGAGCCAGCTCTAGTCTTTGTGGCCATTTAGGGAGTGAACCAACAGATGGAAGACCCCCACCCCATCTCTACCTCTGCCTCTCTCTGTAACTCTGCCTTTCAAATAAATAAATAAATCTTTAAAAGTACAGAATATGGAAATGAATATGAAAAATAGAAAAAAAATGAATGCACTCAGGATCAAGAAATATTTCTCAATTAGTTGATCAAAAAATATTTGCCAAACAAGTGCTATGCTAAGCTTTGTAGGAAAGAAAAAGAAAGAAGAAAATGTGAACACTACTCTAAGGAACTTCAAGTCTTGGAGACAAAGCACTTGCACAAAATAAGTAAAGTTTGCACTTGCACCCATCATTTCTTAGAGGGGTAGATTTTCTTATGTTCTCCACATGCACTGCTTTCCTCACATGTCAGGAGGCGTGTCTTGGCATTCTCCGTGTGCCCTGAACCCACAGGCATGTCCCAGAAACAATGAGTAAGTTGGTTTGGCTGCAGCTGAGGAAGCATTTCTTCCTTAAAACAAGATGGGTAAGGGCCCAAATATTTCTTGTAATCCAGAGTGGTTGCATGCCAGTGACCCACCAGCAGTCTCTGGTTCCTTCTGCTGAGTGTTTTCTCCAAGTTGGGTGAACTGGGGCTACTTAGGAGCTGGCCATTACTGATGCTTACATCTAACTTTCCCTTGTGACATTTCATTTCTACCATTTAACAAGGTCCAAGTCTTGCAATTGACTCCCCCCCAAAACAAACAAACAAACAAACAAATAGTATTGTACGAGCTTAGAAGAAAGTTCTATCTCAGAGAGTTTCAGTTACATGTACAATTTCAATGTCAATTCCTTGGACACGGTTTCATTTGGAAATGCCTTATTCCCAGTCCACTTATGTTACCTTGGGGAAACAGCTCTATTCTCCTAGTCTCATTGATTATGGCCTTATTCCAATTTCCAATTTCATGTCAGAGCTAGGGAGGGTTTATTCCAGTTTCTTGTCATCGATGCTTCAACAAATATCCTTATGTAGGCCTTTTAGAACAAGAAGTAGACAACCCTCCTCCTTCCCCCCGCAAAAAAAAAAAAAAAAAAAAAAAAAAAAAACAAAAAAAACAAAAAAAACAAAAAAAAAGGAAAATTGTTCTAACATACAAAGCAAGTGGTCCATGGTCAACAGGCAGTGGACGTGAATAGTGGGGGTCTTCTTCCTCTGCTGCCTCTCTGTATTCCTAAGCAACCCTCCACCTGCCTGGACACAGATGAACAAAATGAAGACGTTACCTTTCCATTCTCCTTGATCTGGCTCAAATGCGAATGTTCAACTGTTTTTTAAATATATTTCCCCCACAGAGTTACCAAACTGCAAGCTGGTAATGAAATGAAGCTGAAATGAAGAAAACAATTAGGGAAAGGAAAAGGACAAAACGTTTCAAAAGCAGCTCCTTGAGAAGTTTACAAAGTAGAGAAAATAACACTCCTATAAATCTGGTTAGAGAAAAATATTCATGCACAATGTTAAGAAGTAGAATGGGAATATATATGGGAGTAAGTGTTTATTTTGATACAAAATATTGGAAATCTAGACTTTTTTTTATCATAATATGAGTTTCCATGAATGTTTTGCAGTACCCTCATGTACATATCAAAAGATTAAAATAGTTATAATTCCCCTGTGGCAAGTAATTTGAAAACCTAAAACAAATGCCTGGCCTGATTTTGCTTGCAGTATTACAAGTGACCTCTTAGCAGACTAACCAGGAACTATAGACAAAATAAAAATGGAATTACTTGAAGGTACTTGTAAAGGTATACTCTGGAGGCAGATTCTCAATTGACAACTTGAAAGAAGGAAATAATACGAAGTGAGTGTTCTCCCTTTTTTCCTCCAGAGGATAGTTTTCAATCTATACCATGAAGGGTGGCAAAACCTCTGAAGGAAACCCTGAAACGCAGTGGTTCATGGAACCAGAGGGTACAGGACAACCACTGCAGTCCAAGACATAGAGCTTGCAGTAGGAGTTCGGTGGAATTAGCTGCATGCTATAGCAGAAAAGCTGGCTGTCTTTGGGGGCTGTAACAGAATGCAAAATGTCTACAACTTCACACTACAATGTTCAAGATACAAATTAACTGGCATGTAAACGAACAGGAAGATGTGACCCACTCTTAAGGGAAAGATGGATTGTAAGATGGCTCAGACTTCGGAATAAGCAAAAAATGTAAAGCACTTGCTTTTAATATGTTCATTATCGTGAAAGAAAATATTACATAGTGGATAAAAAAGAACATCTCAATTGGAAAACAGAAAACACACACACACACACACACATGTAAACTTGTAATATCTGAAATATGTCTTCCGGAATGCGATTCAGAGCTGAGTGGAAGTGACAGAGGAAAACATCAGTGAATTTTAAGATAGATAAACAGATATGTAATGTGAAGAATAAAAAGAAAGCTAAAGTGACAATTAAGAGCCTCAAGAACATATGGTGCAGTATCAAATAGTTTAATGTATAGGTGATCTTCAAAAATTCATGGAAAATGCATGTTACCAAAAAAAAAAGGCATCCATTTCAAAACTGCCTTTCACCAAAATAAATTTATCTTTTAATCCCACTTTCCAATGAACTTTTAAAATTATCCTCATATACTAAACACAGATGAAATACATAAGGTGACTAAAGCATAAAGTACAGAGAAAGATAAAACTTACCTATACCATTGCATTGTGTAATAGTAACTCCAAGATTATGAAACGTTAATATGCCTCTTAATCCATAGAACAATCATTTAGGAAGTATAACGATACAAAGAGGTTTGTTTAGCTGAAAAGCCCAAATGGAAACAGAATTATAGAATGATATGAAGTGTCCAAAATAGCCCATGATCAGGTCACAAATTTGTATGGAAAATTTACTGGGAGGATATTAGGAAAGTGATCAAAGTTTTCCATTAAAATGTTATCAAGACTAAATGGAGCTGATTTTGAATGAGCCTTAAAAACAAAAAGAAAGAGAGACCATTCTTGGACTATTTGCACTCTTCCATACCGCATAAAAAGAAGGATCTCTGTGCCTTGTGTCGTCTGAAGTCAGCGTGAGCTCCACCCCGTTGATTTCAGGCTTCAGCCAGCACTCATATGGGTCTGATTTTCAGTGGACCTGGCGTTTCTTGTGTAGTCCTTTTCTTTCTTTCCACTTGGTTGATTCCTACACACCTACTTCACCTCTCCCTAACATTCCCATGACCATCAGCAGTTAGCAACACAAGAAACTCCAAACTGATACCTTTTTTTTTTGAAAAGTTGATCTTTACAGAGTAACTAATAGCCTTGTTTCCTAGGAAGGAGTGGAGGGAAGGAGGGAAGACAGAAGGAGAAAACTCACATGCACCTGTCAGTCATCTACGAAGTGCAGGCTGATTCCCTGGGATTTCTTCACCACCCTGCGAGATGAATAGCATTACTCTGCTTTTATAGATACAGAAACTGAGGATCATAAGGGCTTTATAAATCCCCCCCACCTCTCTCTCTTTCTCTCTCCCTCTCTCTCTTTCCCTCACCCCCGACCTCTCCTTCTATGAGATCACGCAAGTAATCAGTGTTGAGTGTGAGATTTGAAGCTGAAGCTGAAGCTCTCTGATTCCAGAGCCTTTGGTTTTCTGTTTCTTCCAACTGCCAGGTGGAATTGTCGAAATATTTAATTGAAAATGTTCTCTCTTTGTATTTATTTTTATTCAACGGGAACATCAATGAAAATTTTTTTAAGCTAATTGTTTTTTTTGGTGTGTGCCAAGGGTAGTAGCAATTGAGGGATTCCATGTTGTGTTCCTTGGCTTCCTAGTACTTACATTCTTTTTTTTTTCCCCACACACAAACAAAAAAGTTTGCTTGATTGATTTGAAACGCGAGTGACAGAGAAAAAGGGAGACAGAGAGAGCGAGAAAGATATTCTTTCCACCGGTTCACCCCCTCAAATGTTCACAACAGCCAGTGACAGGCCAGGCTGAAGCCAGGAGCCAGGAATTCCATCCACATCTCCCATATGGTTGTCAGGGGCCCAAGTACTTGACCCATCATCTGGTGCCATGCTAGGCTCATTAGCAGGGAGCTGCATCCGAAGCAGAGCGGCTGGGACTTGTACCAGTGCTCACTGCCTCTGGGGACTTAGATTCTAGTGGAACAAAATAGTTTAATGCAAAGATTCTCAACAATGGCTAAACAGTGGAAATGTTTGGCACTTTTTCTTCAATGCCTGGGCTCCTCCTAGAGATTCTAAATGTTTTAAAGATTCTAGGGTATGACCTGGCCATCAACTTTTTAAAGCCTCCTAATTGATTGTAATGGGCAGCCAGTATTAGTAGATACCCGTCTTAGTCCATTTTGTGCTGCTGTGATTTATAAGAATAGAGATTTCTTCCTTGTAGCTCTGGAGGCAAGAAGTCTACTGAAGATGCTGGCATGTGATGGAAGCCTTCTTATGACATCAGCCCATAGCAACGGCGGAAGTGCAAGAGAGGGCGAGGGATCAAGGGAGAGATCACTTTTATAACAAGCACACTCTCACAATAACTAACTCACTCCCACAATAATGACCTCAATCATAAACCACTACTAATTCCACCCCACCTCCCAGTGCTGTTACCCTGGGGATTACATTTCCAACACAGGCATTTTGGGGGACTCTTTCAAAAGATAGCATTAATTTATTACCCATCCAAGGCACTAATAGAAGGATTTGGGGGACAGTTACTGAAGAGTACCTCTGGCATGCAGAAGTCCCGATATTGTACCTTTTGGATAAAGGAGATATTTTGGGGCTGAAATTCCTTTGCATCACCCCTCAAATCATACTGCATAGCAGCAGAAAGCTCTGACTATGGCTAGGGTGGACTTGGCCCCAAAGTTTTCTCATCGAATTCTCCCTTTATCTTGACTACAGATTATATGGTAGCGTTAGATACCATTTACAGCATGTTACCCACACATTATTTTATTTAATTCTCACAATGACCCTGAGAGACAGGCATTATGATTTTCATTTTACAGATGAGAAATCAGGGCACATAGCTAGCATGCTGGAGGTGACATAGCTGGGAAGTGAGAAAGCCAGGGCCAGTGCCAGTGTCTGCTCTTACCCGCATTGCCATATCCTAGCAGCTCTGAGACTTAGGCTAAGCAGGTCAGCTTGAGGAATATTTCATCCTGGTCCAAATCGGCCCAGAGACTCCGCAGACCCAAGTCCATTAGGTTGGCTGCTCTTGCAGGTTGAGTTGGGTTGGATAAAATCAAAAATAACTCCCTTCCTCCCTTATCATCATCACTCTTGTAATATAAGCGTATTTCCATTCTCTACTGTCTTTTCAATAGACAGTGTTGAAGACTTTATTCTTCACATTTTCCTTTTCCTTGTGAACCTGCTCTGTTAACTCTGCTTGAAATATTTAGGGCCATGCAAAATTGGAAAAAATGACCAATTCGTGGTTTTATCATCATTCTCCTCTCTCCTTACTACCTTTCTACCCCCTTGTAGAATCTGGACCTTTAGGTTTTGTTATTGAAACTCTCAGAAAGATAAGATAAATGCATTACACTGTGGTGTGAGTGACTGACAGTGTTTCCTGTGCCACCTTTCTCAGGGACAGTCACATTTCACCAGGGGACAAAGAGTTCACTTTGGGAGTCCAATACACGTGGATTTGAATCTTAGGCTGGCTATGGGTTATGTAATGCTTGGCAAGTAACCTAACCTGTCTTAGCTTCAATTTCCTCATCTCTAAAAAGAGAATAGTACTTCAGAGGGTTGTGATAAGGATTAAAAAGATTTGAGACTGTGCCTAGCACAGAGGCTGGCACATAGTAGGCATCTGTTAAAGATTTATCCCTTTCACCTTTCAACCCAATGGAAAAATTCATGCATCGGTCAGGAGTAAAAGTTCCCTGGGATGTGCTGTTTAGAAATGTCTCAACAGCAGTCTCCTACCTCCTCTGCTCCATAGACTACATAGACATTGGCAAGGAGGGCATTGAACTCTTCCTCAGTGAGTCATTCTCTCTCTGTCTCTCCTCTCTTTCTCTCTCTCTCTCTCTCTGTCACACACACACACACACACACACACACTCTTCAGGAGCCGTGGTGGTGGGAGAATACATATAGGAATGAATGCTGCGACTGTGTTTTGCATCCAGGCTTCTTGTCAACCCTTCCTTACAAGCCTGAATTGTCCCCGCATCACAGATGTGAAGTGTACTGCCTAACCTCTGATGCCTGAAGCGGCTGGATAGTGCCAGCGTTTTGGAAGAGGCAGCCACCTCCTGGTCCTTCTTTCTACAGTAATTGAAATGCAGCTCTCTGAATGAAAAACTAAAGGCTGTGTTCACACAGAGAGTGGCTCAAATGCAAATGCTCCTCAAGGCTTGCGCCTGTATTCTGGTGCACTAAGAAGGTGACTGGCATTCCAGAACAATGGGAAGCCCTTAATTACCAACCTTTCAGGGAAGCTCTGCTTGATGTGCATTATCTGTCTTTGTCATCATTGTAAAACATCCCATTAGACTTTCTACCAAGGCACAGAAGCCAGGCTGACAATGGAAACTAAGTTGTTTAATTGCCATCATCTTTGAAAATTTGAAGTGCATTTTTTTACGTGATTGTTTCAGGAAAAGAAGATGGGATTTCAAGATGAGATTGGGTGAGCTAAGAATTGAGGTGCAGCCTGCTGCTGCAGTAAAATCGGGATCCTGCAGATCCTGCCCAGTTGGAGGAGGATTCTAACTTCTCCTTGCTGGTATATGGGTCAAGGTTGGAAGCCACACAGATCTGGGCAAAAAATCCCATTGTATTTGGATGCGAGCATTACGGTGAGGGCCGCATACCTGAACCCCTGTGCCAGCACTAGGAAGGGGTACCATTCACCTTCTGTCAAACATCATGTTGATAGCAGAGGATCTGATGGGTGAATTCGAACCACGGGAAGCCATGCAGCATCTGGTGGCATCAACAGCAACGGGTCACACAGTTTTTGGACATGTTTTCGGGACTTTTTGTTTTTAAATGAAAGTAGTCTTTCCTGTCTCCTGAAGACAAGCTGGCCTCATCTATTTCCTACGACAATCCATTATAAATTCAGCCTGGCGGGCAGTGAGGCCTGGGAAGTGGCCGCCTGGGTCTCACTTTTATGTCCCGGTCGTCTCTCCGACAAGTTCCATGCGTGATCAGTCAGGAGACGGCTAATTCCAGTCCACGCATTTTTCAGATGAGCTTCATTTTATTTTTAATTTCCCCACAAATGCGCGCCAGGCGTAGATTTCGTCAGTTACAGACATAGCTCTCTAATCTGTGCCGCCCTTCCGTAGCTCATACTCCCGAATGAATTAAGGTCCAGTTACATATAAAAGTGATTATGACCAGCGAAATGTCTGCCCAGAGCGGCCTCCCAAAAAAAGGGGGGGAGCAAAGATTCGAGACTCTGACACTCCTCTTTGGCCATCTTGGGGCCATGCACTGTACAATTAAAATGAGCCCCCCAGCCACCTTCTAAAACCTACACTCCTTTCACACGTGATAGCCCAGCGGCCTTGGGCCCCCATGGAGCAGAGAAATATGTTGTTTTCTCCTGTTGGGAAAAACGATTTGTTTTCTGCCTTCATCCGCCTCGATTTCTTTTCCAGAGAACTGATCTCACCCCTCTGAAAGCGTCCTATTTCACCTCTGTAGGCATCTGGCTTTCACTCGGAGGCAGGCGACTTCTTCCAAATGCTGACATTTGAGGGCCCGTGCTCTGTGTCTTCTTTGGGATTCTGCTAAGGGTCAGGCAGGCATTTCTCAGGACAGCGCCAGTCTCTGTGGGCTGTTTTCCCTCCAATCAGTAGGTTCCAGTAGCCCATGGAGCAGGCGCTGCATTGAGAATGCCCAGGAAACCAGCCGAGGGAGCAGAGGCATAGAGGCCACTTGCTCCCGAAGCCTTTATAATCACATTCAGGACAAAGGAAATACTCCCAAAGACACATTTACTTATTCTAAGTTACCCTCTCAATAAATCATAATATGGGTAAGACCCAGAGAACACGGAATAATGTATCACTGGGTATTATGGACCAATGGGCTAGATTGTGCCAAAAACCAGAACAAGTATTTATTTGCTCTTCTTTCCTTTGCTGCCTTTCACTCAGCTTTGGTCCCCACAGATGTGAAATCTTGAATATTCTAGATGTCTATGGCAAAAGAGCTAGGAGAATCTGCACTGACTTTTCCTCCTTTCATCGCAATTTCCAGAGCAATGGCTGCAAAAACATAAGCAGGCTGACCCCGAGGCAAGGTGTCACAGCTGCACTCCGCGATCAAGTCTCTTCATGTGGACTTTTCCAACTTGTCGTATAGACCCCAAAGCAGATGAGGCATTCTGTGTTCAAGTTCTTTGATACAGCTCTCCATGCAGTGGAAACAACGTCACAAAATGTCCACCAACATCTTCCATACCTGAATTCCAGGGCAGAGTCCCTGGGGTGGGTACGAATGGCAGAGGAAACACTGCCTCCCTTGGCAGGAGCCAGCCTCATGCCCACTGCCCCATCGCCCGCCAGGCTGGGGCCCGACTGCTGTCTGGGACAAGCCAACCTTGGTAGTCACCCAACTTGAGAATCATTTGAGCTCTTCCTGTCGCCATGCCCCACCCCACCCCATTCCACCCTCGCCTCTTCTTTCTCCTCTCTGGCAGCCTCTCTGTTTTCAGATGTTTACCCAGAGTTAGAGTCTCAGAGGCTGTGTGGAGCCCGGGGGAGGGGAAGGCACCTGGAAGACGGATTCCTTGGGGAGACACCCACGGTGCATCCGTGGATGCCCACTCCTTCCTTCTGCAGGGTTGACAGTGTTTGTGTGCGTGTGTGCGGGTATGCCTTCACCGAGGGGACAGTGGCTTGCGTCTCTGCCTTGCAAAGTCATTAATCCTTGCTTAGCCCAAGTGGAATGCTTTTTTTGGGAACACCAGTATCAACTGTGCTGCAAATGCCCCATCTCAGTGGTCTCCATGTGAGCAGGACATCCGGATTTTGTAACATCATTTTATAACTGTTCCCCCGACCCTGATTCCATCCTTCAGAGCGCTGAGGACACGTAACTGGAAGCCGCTCCAGTTACTCTCCCCCTCCACGGTGGACCCGTGTCACCTGCCGCCCTGGCATCATCACCCAGGCATGCACTGTCACACTCCCAACCGGAATGTCAGCTTGCTGTTTGAGATTCACACCGACACTCGGTCCCCAGAGGGCTCGTCCAGGAGCCAGGGCAGCCTGCGCTTGGGAGCACATAAAAGCAAAGGAGTCCCCTGGGTTCTTGGCAGTACTTCAAGCGCTAGCCCAATGAAGAGATCTTGACAGCATACTTGTAAACTCCACAGGCCCCAAGGGCTCAAACACCACGATATTTATGCCCCTGGGGTGGAGGGCCAAAACAGTTGGGTTGTTATGCAGACGTGGGGCTTCTGAGTTGGG